TCGTGTCTTTTATTAATTTCACATTGGTGTGTTGTTGTTATTCCATCTTATCCGACTTTATTTCCCAACAACTGGTATCAGAGCCAGGAGGTTGGAGATAAGATGGAGGGAAAGATTTCAGTCGAACGGTTCAATGGTTCCGACTTTGGATTCTGGCGAATGCAAATGGAGGCTTACCTGTACGGGAAGGACCTCTACGCACCTCTTAGGGAAAAGCCCGAGAAGATGAGCGATGATGAATGGAAGGTGGTCGATCGGAAGGCGATGAGCGCTATAATTCTTTCGCTCTCTCGAAACGTCGCCTACCATGTGAAGGGAGCAAAAAGCACGAAGGAGGTCTTGCAGACACTCGCCGACATGTTTGAAAAACCATCAGCAATAAACAAGGTGATGCTGATGAAAAAGTTGTTCAAATTGCAAATGGAGGAGCGAAAGTCAGTGGCCGATCATCTCAACGATTTCAACCAACTCACGACGCAGTTGGCATCGGTGGATATTTCGTTTGATGATGAGGTAAAAGCCCTAATCTTGCTCTCATCATTGCCGGACAGTTGGGACGTGGTTGTTACTTCGGTGGGCACTTCTTCTGGCAAGGAGAAGATGAAGTTCGACAACATAAGAGACATGATGTTGAACGAGGAGACCCGCAGAAATCAGGCGGGTGGGTCGTCTGGCTCAGCCCTACATACAGAGCCCAGAGGGAGACCCGAAATACGAGGGAATATTCGTGGGAGGTCAAAATCTAGGGGAAGGAATAAAGGCAAGAAAGAGATGCTGTGTTGGAACTGCGAGAAGCCTGGGCATATGAAAAGCGAATGCCGGGCACCAAGGAAGGACAAAGAAGGCTGGACAGCCAATGCCACGACGGAGGACACGGCGGATGCACTCTTGTTGAGTGTGAGAAGCTCGCTCGATGACTGGATCGTGGAGTCAGGGGCATCGTTTCACTCTTGCAGTAGCAGAGACATCATGGAGCCATACACAACAGGTGATTTTGGCGTGGTATATCTTGCAGACAAGAAACCCCTAAAAATTGTAGGGAAAGGAGATGTGCAAATCAAGTCAGCAAATGGGTCATGCTGGACACTACGGGATGTGAGGCACATTCCAGGACTGAAGAAGAATCTCATCTCAGTTGGACAGCTGGACAATGACGGCTTCCACACAATGTTTGGAGACAGAAAGTGGAAGGCCAGCCGAGGAGCTATGACTTTGGCAAGAGGGCTGAAGTCAGGAACGCTTTACACGGCGAGTGGATCCAGCTCAAACATTTTCCTTGCAGGAGCTGTCTCACAATCGCACTTGTGGCACGGTCGCTTGGGCCACATGAGCGAGAAAGGAATGAAGGTACTAAAGTCGAGAGGACTTTTGCCCGAGTTGGAGTCATTGGACGTGGGTCTCTGCGAGCAATGCGTGCTTGGAAAGCAGAAGCGAGTGAGCTTC